CGAATTCAAGTGTATAGAAGGAGCGGCTAAGCCGCGAGTTATATAGGGACCTTATGGACGAGTTATCTATACTGTTTTTTCTACCGCGCACGTTTTTTCGCAAAATTTAATTGAAATTTGCGTTTTTTTAAATCTGGGGAATTTTTGTTGTGGTTGGTGATGAGTTGGTCTGACACGAACCACGAAATATTTGAAGTTCAAATTTTCACAACAACTGTAATTCGAATCAATTCGAGTTTTTGTCAATTAAAATGTCTTGTGAAGAAGTTAGTGAAATCCTTACGCCTCCTGAAATACGGGAAATTTTAATTTGACATTTGCCACTGACATTCACCTGATATTTCTCGTCATGGCGGCCAATCTTACCGATCTAAATTACACCAGATCTATTTCAGAACCCCTTTCGGGTATTAACGAACCGATTTGAGGTTTTAATAGCTCTATTAGAAAATCAAAAAAACGTGCGCGGTAGAAAAATAATTTTTAAAGTTTGGTTTTGCAAAATTTTTCAGGGTGGCCGATTTTTTTTGCCGGTCAGAGTATTTCAAATCGAATAAGTTATAAATACTGCTCTAGTGTTTGTAAATATTTACTTGTTACTTTAGTTGGTAAATTACACATTGTACTTTAATTTTTTTTTTATACAATATTATTATAATAATTAATTATGAAATTTCTATATGATAAATAAATAAAATGTTAATCTAATCAATGCATATCATTACTTGGTCTTAGTATCCGTAATGATAGAAGTCTTGCCTGAATGCCGGTCATTTCCGGGTCAGTGGTGGGTCTTAATAAAAAAAAGTATATTTTATAATAAACAACAATTGACAATACATGGATATTTAGTTTAATTAAGGCAATCATCATCATTAATGATGATTTTGTCAAAAAATGCAAATGCAACATATTTTTGGATTTTATTATTTTTTTAAGAGAAAATTAATGACTTCACCGCGTATACGTGTTTAATTTATATAGACTGACAACGCAGAGTTAAAACTCCAACCGTGCGTCCCTGGGTCGACGCACTCTTTTTTACTACATCTACAGTCTAATAATGAGTCTATTCAAATTAAAAAGTTTAAATACCTGCATGTATTTAGTAGAAAATGTTACATATCCATTGAAATATTTTGAGACGTTACAACCATTTTAATCTTAAATCATTATTAGACGACAGAAAGAAACTTTCTTGTAATGTATTCATGTTTAATTTAATTCATTACATGGTGCTATCATACTTATTTGAACTTTAATCTATAATGTACCTTGTACAATCGTCACTCGCTAGTACTTTCAATTCCACATTCTCGCGCAAATTATCATTTGTATTCCCCAGTATTTAACATGTGTAGAAAATGTAATCAAATCTCTTGCCCTGTTTTTGTTTTTCGAGGTAATTTTAAAATGTTTTGTAGCAATTACAAAAAAGCTATTAGTAATTCTGCCGTTTAATAAATACCAACTCCACACATTTATATTTATTTATTAGGTTGTAGTTATTATGCATATGAATATATGTATATGTGGTAAATGCATTTATGGCAAAATGTTGGATTCCATATGTTATTATGATTTTGGATGTCTTCTACATTGTGTGAATGCTTTTCTTGTTGAGATGTTCAAATTTTCCAAATCAATTATTGTTGACCATTTATGTAATTATTGCAAAAGAATATGTTAGCTGTGGAACACAGAATTTATTTACTGCTTTCATTAAATTCTTGTAGTTTAACTGTGTATTTAAAACTAATTTTAATTTTTCCAGATATTCTTTGTAACTCGAAGGATTCTTTTTGTTCTTCATTGATGATCTCGGATTTAAAACGGTGTTAATAGATTTTTCGTGTTATACAAGGGGTTAGATTTTGTAAATTATAAATAAACAAATGACAGGTCTGTATTTTGATGGATCTGTTGTGTCATCATCTTTAGGTTTTAGATATGTTTTACCATAACATAAAAATGTTGGAAATGTGGATGGGATAATAAGGAACTAGTTTAAATGCTTTAGTAAATGAGTGTGTATACAATTATATATGAATTTTTTCATCAAAAATTATTTATGTATTTATTTTGGTCCTGGTGATTTCCAGTTTTATGGTCTTTTGATGGCACTTATCAATTCGTCAAGTGTTATTTGATTATTATCGTTCATTGGTGTAACTGCGGATAGTTTATTGGATATGTGAGGAATCCATTAGGCAGATTCATTAAATTTAATTTTTTGAGATCAAAGTTTGGACCAGAAAGTTGTTAAATCCTGTGAACTTGGAATTCAACCAGTGAATTGAGTTTCGTGTGTAAGTATTAGTTCAGTAAATTTTCATTGATATAAAACTGTATTATGAATTTTTTTGAGATGTGTTTGTATGTTTTAAATCTGTTGATGTATAGGCTAATTTTTTGTAATAAAGTGTCTGTAATTTGTAATAGTTGTATTCATCATAACATTTATAATACAATGAGTTGGGTGAAAATTATTTTTGCTCAATATTGAACGGATGCCTGTAATGATGTTTGGTTGTTCTAACTCCTCTACGCTATTGTGTGAGTTGACCTAGTTGTTTTCTAATGTTATTATTATTAATTTTATAATTTAATCTTGTTTCCCAATTTGGAGTAGAGTAGATATGATTGGTGTTAATTTATTAATTCTTTACTATTGATTAGCCATTGAAGCAAGAAAAAACTAGCTGTGTCGGTAATTTAAATCGTAATAGTATTTTTCTACTCCCACATAGTAATCCATGAATTACGAACTGTCTAGCCTCATAGTAAAACCATAGTTACACCCACTGGCATGTAATGGCCAGTACGTAATATATATATATTACGTGCCTGTTTGAATGGTTTCCATAGCAACAACTATAAACAATAAATATTTGCTGTTACAAAAAAATGGAAGTTGAAATGTCTTCAGAAAGTGATTCAGAGTGTTTAGAACTAACTCCCCCTGAAATAACTGCTCAAGCAGCTGCTGCTTGCAATAATCTCTTGCCTGTAAAATCCAAAAAGAGATACGAAATGATTTATCAGAAGTTTATGAACTGGAGATCCGAAAACAAGGTTACATCATTTTCAGAGACCGTTCTCATGGCATATTTTGGTAAAATGAATGCTGAATTCAAGCCATCTTCATTGTGGGCTATCTATTCGATGCTTAGGAGTACGCTAAGTGTGAATCATAACATAAATATAGCTAATTATAGGAAACTTCAAGCATTTCTAAAAAGGCAGTCTTCTGGATATAAAAGCAAAAAATCAAAAATACTTACAGCAGCACAATTAAACAAGTTCATAAAAGAAGCTCCTGATCTAGTTCATTTATTTACAAAAGTATGTTAAAATTTTCACTATTTTATTTTCTGATAACTCTCACTTTATAGGTAGTACTAATAATTGCTATTTCTGGTGCTTGTCGGCGACAAGAATTGAAAAATTTAAAACAAAATGACATAGAGGACACTGGAAAAATATTTGTTGTGAAAATACCTGATACGAAAACAAAAATATCTAGATCTTTTGTTATTCAGGGATTGTTTTATCAAATTTGTAGAAAATACTTCATTCTTCGTGCGCAAGTTAAAGATGCTAACATCACACAATTTTTACTGAATTATCAGAAAGGGAAAATAACAAAGCAGGTAGTTGGCATTAATAAGATCGGCAGCGTCCCCAAACAAGTTGCTGAATTTCTCAAATTGCCCGACCCAACACGGTACACGAGTCACTGCATGAGAAGAACCTCTGCCACAATTCTTGTTGATGCCGGTGGTGATCTGTTAGAACTCAAACGACATGGTGGATGGAAGTCGGGGGCAATAGCAGAATCTTATGTAGATGAATCTATGGCAAATAAAATTTCCACTAGTTCCAAAATATTACACTCCGTTAAAAATATAAATACTTCAGAAACATTATCTTTGGAACCCACACCATCCACATCTTCTTATTCCCCTAAAATTCCTGGTAGTCCTGAAATAAACCCCTCAACAACAATAACGTCTCAACACAAAAGTAGTGGTTCAAAATCAGAATCTGCCACTTCAATTTCTGCAACCAACAATACAGACGAAACTTTTTTTACACCCTCTTCAACCATGTCAGTCTCGTCGGCATTATTACAAAAATTAGGGGCACCTTTGGTAATAAAAAATTGTAGCAATTTTACTATTAATATAAACAATAATTAATTATGAAATTTAGCCAACCTTTGTAATACACAATTTCTTTCATTATTGGATCAAATTAGAAAGTTTGAGAAAATTTTGACAAAACTAGTTCACAACTAGTTGAGTCTGACTAAAAAAATTAGGTATTACATAGCAATTAATTCGTTTTGCGTTGCAATATTAGCATAAAATCTAGTTGTATATATATATACATAGTTTCCATAATTGTTATATTTTTTTAATAAATTTTTTCAAAAAAAATACTGACTAAGAAAATTTGGTCGTAGAAAAAGTATATGACACAACTCTGGTGGTAAGCTAATTACGAACTCATCTTATATCACTCGCTCGCTACGCTCGCTCGTGTACAAACTTCTTCGTTCGTAATTAGCTTCTTACCACCCTCGATATGTAATATACTATTTTCTACTCCCACATAGTAATCCATGAATTAGGAAACTGTCTAGCCTCATAGTAAAACCATAGTTACACCCACTGGCATGTAATGAATGAACAGGCACGTAATATATATATATATTACGTGCCTGTTTGAGTAGTTTCCATAGCAACTATAAATATTTGCTTTCCCAAAAAAATTTCTTCTGAAAGTGATTCTTCATTATAGATCGTAGAAAAAGTACATGACACAACTCTGGTGGTAACCTAATTACGAACTCATATTACATCACTCGCTCGCTACGCTCGCTCGTGTGTAAACTTCGTTCGTAATTAGCTTCTTACCACCCTCGATATGTAATATACTATTTTCCACGACCACTATGTAATAGCGTCAATTACGCCTAGCCTAGTTGATGTCTAAATGCCTAGTTACATGCACCCTTACGTTATGAAACAGAACTAGCACGTAATAATATTACGTGCATGTGTTGGGGAATTTTCGTTTGAAGGAGATGTCAGCTGGAAATTGCGAACTGTCAAACAGTCGTTTGTAACTGGCGCGTTGTGATTGTGTACATAATTTTCATTGTCTAAAAGCAGGTAAAGAAAATGTTATTTGGGATTATTGCTTTTATGTTGTATAATTCTATGTAGTAAGGATGAGTTCTGACGATTCTGACGAAGAACCTATGACAATGACGCCACCAGAAATAATGCAGCAAGCTGCAGCAACGTCTGACCATCTTATTCCAGAAAAATCAAAACTGAAATATGAATGCACATACCATAAATTTATGGACTGGCGTATTAAAAATCATGCAAAGTCTTTTTCGGAAAATGTGTTAATGGCGTATTTTGGTCACATTAGACCTCAGTTTAAGCCAACATCACTTTGGGCAATGTATTCTATGTTACGGACAATGATTGGAATAAAACACAATGTAAATATTGCCAACTATCCTAAATTAAAGGCGTATCTAAAAAGACAATCAGATGGATATCATTGTAAGAAATCAAAAGTTTTTACGGCAAGTGAAGTTAACAAATTTATTAAAGAGGCCCCACATATGGAAAATTTATTTAAAAAAGTATGTAAAATGTTATTAAATTCAATGCAATAATTTTCTTTATTATTAGGTTGTTCTTATTATTGGCATAAGTGGGGCATGCAGGAAACAAGAACTGAAGGATATTAAAATGAGTGATATTGAAGACACAAGACATTCACTTGTCATTCATATTCCTAAGACAAAAACTGAAAAATCTAGATCCTTCGTAATATCGGGAAATTTTTATAATATTTGCATGGAGTACATAAATTTTCGACGCAACGTAACTGAGCCAAGTATTACTCAGTTATTTCTCAACTTCCAAAACGGAAAGTGCACAAAACAAGTAGTCGGAGTGAACAAAATAGGACAAATACCAAGACAAGTGGCGGAATATTTAAAGTTGCCAACCCCTTCCTTATATACAGGTTGTATAGATATAAGGTTTTTGTATGAAATAGGAAATAATAAAATTATTCTTATATAAAGGTCACGCTTTGAGGAGGACATCAGCAACAATACTTGTTGATGCCGGGGGTGATTTAATGGCCCTGAAAAGGCACGGGGGGTGGAGTTCGTCAACAGTAGCTGAAAGCTATGTTGACGAATCCATGGCCACTAAAACATCAACCAGCAACAAAATATTGCAGTCCATTGAAAACCAAGAAAAGCGTGCTACTATCGGCGTCACAGAATTGTCTGGAACTGAAAATTTTCAAGAGATGCCTTCAACATCAACGGCCATATTTGCACCTACAACTGCAGTATTAGAGAAATGTGCTACTACTGTTCTAGAAAAAACTGGAACGCCAATAATTATAAAAAATTGCCAAAACTTCACGATTAACTTTCATACCAATTCAAATAATTAATTGTTAAGATTTTCAATGTATAATTATGGTTCGTATTTAATAAATAGCTAAAATGAAATATTAACTTCTTTCACATTGAAATATTTTTGAGGTGTGGTCGTGGAAAAAGTATAGTACACAACTCGTGTGCAAACGCTCATTACGCGCTCGTTGAATTACTGCACTCGCCCCTACGGGGCTCGTGCGCAATTTTTCAACTCGCGCGTAATAAGCTATTTAGCACACTCGTTATGTAATATACTATTAACATTACTAGCATGGTAAAAGGGTTTTTACTGGCGGACAGAAGGATATGACTGGCTGGCCTGCGGCTCGCCAGTCACCTTCTGGGGCCAGTAAAAACCCGTTATCTTGCAGGTATTGTTCAATATTTTATTTGTTTCTCACTTGTAAATAACTATTATAAACTATTTAGATTTTTCGATTTATCGTTTTCGATGTATTGAAATGAGTGTGGCGCAAGCTATATTACTGAGGAAGCAGCAATTGTGAGTGAAAATTTGCTTGAATCAATTTTGACTGTCACTTCAACTTATAATAGTTTAAAATGTTTAAAATACATGCCTGTATGAGCACGAGCAGGGCTGTAAAAATTTTACTGGCTAGCCAGTAAAATTTTTACAGGCTATAGCCAGTTAAGTGACGTTTTCATGTTGAATACAGTGACTTGGTAAATTGATGTTTACAAGTGACGAACAAATAATAACTATTGATTTTGTGTATTGGCATTTACCACATCGTATTTGTAAATTGGTGAACAAAGCCTTGAATTATCAAAAGAGTGATAGTAGTGGTGAGAAGCTATTGTCCTAAATGTAATTAATGACCTAAAACTCACAGACTCTGTTGTTGCTGTGAGAGAAATTGTACAACCTAAAAACATACTATTTGTTATCTTGTTTTGTAAGCTTCATTTTTTAATTTTTCGGGAGCAATTTTAGGTATGTAAGGGTTTTGAACTATAGCTCTACGTTGATCTGCTAAGTTTTGAATGGTGACTGGAAAATTCGGGTATTTACGGCTAAAGGGTTCGTGTAGAGGTTTGCGAAAATTAGTTTCATTATTTGTAATTTTATAACGCTTAAATATAAGCGCAATATGAATTAAATTCATTTGAAGAGACTATTTTTTATGCTTTTTGGTTTCATCTCTTAATCTAAATGTTTTTTTATTTCAAACCGTTAGAATTGACAGTTGATTATGAAAAAAGGAATTATTTGTTAGTTATATGAGGCACGTGGAACGAAAACACGAACAACAGTTAACACATTTATTATACAAACACAAGTAAATATATACATTACAGTGAACTTGGACACACGCGCGCGGACCACCGACCAGCCATTCGTGTGACGTTCGTCTTCGTCATAGCTACGTCATCGCTGGCGCAGTCGCGCAGACTACCGCCGAACACGCGCTCCATCTATGTTTCCTAACATTAATTAGATGTAAAATGTAAAATAGGTGTTTAATAATTATAGATGCAGTATCTTGCACTGTAAAGAGTCCTGTTTGGTAAAATAAAGGTATCTGTACGAGTATTTTCCAAAGATTTCGCCCTTTTTGAGCACCACTAACCCGGAAATGACCGACATTCAGGCAAGACTTCTATCATTAGGAGTACTATATGCATTGATTAGATTAATTATTATTATTATTTACAATTTACTGCTGGTCCTATTAAGAGTTGTTAATATAACGATATCTGAGTCTAGGCTGTTCCAAACGGTATTATGTTCTATTTCAAGAATTTTTTTACTATACTCACAAAAAATATTATACTGATAGATAACTTTACGGGAAGATACCAATACTGCCGAAACAATAAAAAAAAAAAATAATTCCATAGCTAACTAGACGATGTTTTTTTTAAATCATGTGGGGTTACATACTTTTGTAACGAAGAAAAGTTAACTTTTTAAAATTAAGCTGACGAGTATAATTAACTATAATGAAAAGATTTCTATTTATCTAAATCCGATATTGTAAGGATAAAAACGTAAACTGTTCTAGACTGAAAAATCATTTACTGCACATTTTTATTTGTACGTAATATGGCACCCTGAAATCACTAACGATTAATACTGACTCAGTCTTCAGGAAGTCCACAAAACAAAGAGGATCAATAAAACTGTCATACTGAACGTGAGAAGTTTGATGATGCATTAAGTGCAATTTACGACGCATATTTGTCAGGAGTAAGAATTACTTTCAGGTAGATTATGTCGATATCGATGATGATATTCCAAGCGGGTCTGAGTTGTTCGCAAGGTATACTACTGTCACAGCCACAAGTACTCCATCATCCAGTAGTGTTAAAATATCTGTCGCTCTGAAATACTCTGTGACTTGGTGAATATAGTTCATTATTAAAGATGGTTGAACTGAGCCAAGTTTCAGATAATATTATTACATCATAGTGGATGGCAGAAACATTAGAATATAGGTCAAATAGTTTCGGTTTGATCCCCCAAACTTTTTGGTAATAAAAGCTTACGAACCTAGAATGGACACACCCTCTGCAACATTAAATAGTCACTGGGTGTTATCTAAAATGGAAGGTTTATTGGAAGAAACTGCAAAGTAAACATCTTTTGCTATGCTTGCATTCTAAAAAGTATCACAAACAGACTTTCTTAAACTTTTACAAGGCCACTTGCAAAAATTATATGCCTATAATTGCAAAGATTTAAAGAAAAGTTAGAAATAAAAGAATTACTAGAGCGGTATTTAGGAAAAAAATCGTTACAAGAAAGAAGGATAAACCACTAGAAGAAGAATTTCAAACCAATTATATGCAAAAACTATAAATTTAGGTGATAGTGACAGTGGAACTGATCTTCAATGATTAAAATATTTTTTCCAATGAGTGGCTCATCATTTTAAAAATATCTTCATCCATAAATGACCAGAAAAGTGAAATAGGGTGCCAAGCAGTAAAATTCTTGCATACGTCTATGCACTACATCCTTAGCATTTAATAAATTCAAAGACATGAATAAACTCATAACCATGATATTAGAGTTGGTAGCCTGTCATGTTGCGGTACCAAAACAACAATAAAAAACAAATTCTTAAAATATTGCTAATTTAAGCTTAAATTAATTCAAATTAAGTAAATTTAAACAAAACAACGTATATTTCCTGACAATAATTATACAGAGTAGAGTAAAATTCGTACTTTACAGAACTGTTGCGCTGGTTATTTAAACTACAGTTGAATTACTCATAAATTCAATTGCCAAATATTATTATTTAAGTATTGATTACTTTGATCTACTTATTAAACCTTTGTTACAGTTTGCGTTAAACCCCAAGTTTCTCGTCTTAGATTACATTCCTTTATAAATTTAAATTTATTTCCACATTGGGAAGTCGTTTTCAAATTTGTCGAATAATGTATATGCTTTTATATCAAAAATGTATTGATGAAATAAGGTCTTGAAATTCGGCGCAGCACAAACACAACGGATTTTATCATCTTGCTGCAGGAAATTTTCAGCGACTGAAAGCTTTCGTGGAACTAACAACATAATCATCATTCACCACATCCTCGACTTCAACAAACAATTCAATTCACAAACGTGAGGGATCTTATTTCGCTATTTTTGTTTAGCAATGATAGTTTCATGGTTTCTTTACCTCTTTGGGAAATAAACCAATCAGAGAATGTTGTTTTAGATTTATAGTGTCTTTTTTAATTTGCTTACTGGATTACATATATACTGTACTTTATAAATGCATAATATGAGATCCAAAATGTGTAAATGTTTGAAAAATTAAGTTTTTGTCATTAAGAGAAATTAAATAACATCAGGTTAAAAAATCCAAGCTTTGAAACATATTTTGAGAAAAATCTGGTTTTTCTAAGCATTGTGTATATCAGAGCCAAAATCTAAGAAAATCACATACGTATGTATATTGATATTTTTAAAAAAGAAGACAGAAAATATTAACGAAGTTGGGTTGACAAGAAATTAATAGTGTAAGTGTTGGGGAAGTGATTTTAAGTTATCTCATAAACGCGAATATGTTTTACGTTTCTCAATGGGAAAACAATTTTATATTTCGAAATAAATTACACAAGCAAAGTTCTAAATAATATTGGTTGAATCAGATACAAAAGAAGAATTGCTTACACCAAACAAGATTTAAAGATCAACTCGCATAAACTCTAAACTTGTCAAAAAGACCAGAAAATCAGGATTTACATTAGAAAGTTAAATATTTTAAAGAGATTTCGGCAGTAACTCTAATATATCGTATGGAAATCAATGGATAAAATTAATATTCCATATTATTAAACAAGTTCTATTCAGATAGTTTTCAACAGTGCATGCTCTAAGTTAATGCCATGAATTTTAACTACACAATGTTTGCGTATCTGCAGGAATTATTAACCGCTTTCAAATTCTAAAGATGCATTCACGCTTGAATACTAAGAAGCTTTCATTTCCTGGAAATAAAGTAGGATAAATATCTTGACTTGAATGTGCAGTAATATCGGTTTTGTTAGATATTGGTAACTGAACGCTTATGAAAGTGCAATACTTCTTTGCTTGCGTCTACACAGGATTTTTTTCCAAAATAGGGATTACTGTACGAAATGAACAGATTTTAGCATATATATATACAAGGTATATTACTTGCAATTTAAAAACTGTTGAAACTTAATTTATTTAATTTAATTTAATGGATGATCAATTCTCGTGAAATACATCAATACTTTTACTACGAAGTAAATAAGTACTTCTAGCTTTTTTACTAAATACTTGAAATTTTACAAAACTAAGTTGTCATAAATCAGACAACTACTATCTTCCATAAAATTAATTACTTTGTCATCGAAAAGACAATGCGTGTTGAGGTTCTTGATTCTTTGGGAAAGAGTAAGCAAGACAAATTGATAACACATATTTAACATGTGTTAAAAAATATTCGTTTTGTTAAACAACCACACACGATGAATACTTGAAACAGAAAACAAAAAGCTTTATAAACTTTTGGAAAATTCTTTCCAAAAGTGACAAATTTTGAGAAAGGTACATATACAAGGCAGGAAAACCTTGAAGAAAATAAACAAGGGAATTAAAACAGAAAAGAGATAGTAAACGAACGGTAAACAAGAAAATTGTGTTAAAAGCTTGGGAAAAATCGGTTTTTAATAAATCTTCTGGATGATAGAAACAACGAGAAATTCCGGCATTACACAAACTTCCAGCTTTTTTTCTATTAATAATGTAACTATAAAAAGTTGTTACAATATTATCATTAGGTGCAGCATTTTCCCGAATTATTGAAGAAGGTGAACACAAGCGCCGACACTAAAAAAACAATAAGGTCAGTTGAATCTCTACCGAAAACGGAAGAAACAAACCTTTTATCAGTAAATTACAAGGCTCGTGCTATCCGAACAATAACAGAGATCTGGAAAAGTTTAATAAACACTTCTTAAAGTAATCTATCATAATACTATTGTAGTACGAGTACGAATAAAATTCGACCCAATTCACTCCTATGTTGTAAGCCTGGAATTTTATTATCCTTGTGATTACTTTCCACAAATTTATTGTCTTCTTCAGGTAAAATGTCAGGAAAGTTGTTTCTATCATTTAAAAATTTCCAGGCATGCAAAACAAAAACATGAAGCTGATATGTTTGGCATCCTGTCCAAATGAACTCTGATATCATTCATCCAAATTAGAAAAAATCGTTTTAATTGTCCGAAATATTTTTCGATGATGCTCTATTTCTCTTGTGTGCTCTTTCACGAGTAGATATACTTACAAAAATTCTTTTTACACTAGCAGCCTAAATATGCACTTCGTTTTTGCCTACCAAAGTCAATAATGATAATTAAATTTGACCAAGGCTAATAATGGCACTGAAGTTATTATTGACCAAGGTCTATAATTAAAAATTGAGGTTATATAATGTCTGACAAACGAAAATTGGCCGTTATTACCAGATTTTTGAAATTATTTTTACGAGGAATGTAAAAGTGCTAAGTGCTATAACAGCATCTCTGGAGGGGTAGATAGTTCACTATCTGATATATTTTCTAAAAAAAATAACATAAATTAATTGACAATTTGAAATTACAAACCTCATTAGTCATTACAAACCAAGTTTTCATATATCGAAAAATAATTACGGAAAACATCAAAACCTAGTTAGGTGATGTCGGTGATGTTATGTTACATTTAATAAATTGAACGTTTTTCAAATCTGTTTTGTAGTGCGCTTTTAGTGAAAAAAATAGTATGTACGCTACGGTAGTGAAGACCAACACGCTGCTAATCCGCGTTCGGTCTAAAATGATTGTCTTCACTACCTTGGCGTATAATATATTATTGTCGTCGAGTATAATTATAATATTTTATTTTATTTTGTATCATAGTTTAACTAATACTCTAAAACTATTCGAATGTGACCG